CTAAGCCAAAGTGACAGTTTGGGTGGCATTGGTGATTTCCACTCCATAAGAATTCTTCTCCTAGCTATTAATGTTACAAAGGCAAAGGCGTTTTCTATTTCTTTAGCTAAATGGATGTCCTCATTTGTTACTCCAAAAATAGCCATTTCCGGATTTGGTTGAATTCTTAAATTGAAGGCTGAGTTTAAAATTTCAAATATTGAAGACCAAAATCGTCTCAGTTTGTCACATGACCAGAACATATGGGTCAGGTCTGCCTTGCATGAGTTGCAACGATCGCATGTTTCATCTATATTGGGGGAGATTTTAGCCAGTTTGGTTTTGCTGTAGTGAATACGGTAAAGAATTTTCATCTGAATCAGATTAAGACGGGCACATGATGAAGTCTTGTTTTGATACAACTATTTTTTAACAAGAAATGTGAAACTGTTTAATTAAGGTAATTAATTAAATTCAATTAAACTAATCTATTAGAGCAATATATTTCAAGCTTTTTATAAAATATGCAGGTATTTTGAGAGTGACTCTATATAATGATTGGAGTGGGCGGAGCTAAATATATAATTTTGCCTCAATTTTCTTGTTGCAGTGCTCTGATTGGTGGAATGTTTGTGCAGCATTATGGGTAATGTAGTTTTTCCTACACAGATACAAACAGCTGTTGTTAAAAAAGATCTTCAACAACATCAAAACCAGATTTAATCATTTAACAACCTCTCATATAAAAACAGGTCTGCCTTAACATACAAATAAATGTCATTATGGATAAAAATGAATGGAGTTTTACTGTCACTGATCATTTGTACATCAACAATATAACACATTTACCCCTAAATGTTGCACAATTTGAAACACGTCTGCTTTAATTAATATGTTTTACACATTTAAATGGTCAAAATTCTCCAAACTTAAATATAAAACAAAAATATTGCAAATATTCTAATTATAATTTTAATAAAATATTATAATTGTTCTGTTATTGGACCTCAGTATGCATCTGCTCCTAAAGAAAGTAATGAGCTTTATTTTAAACCTTAAATTTAGAAAGTTGACATCAAAATACATGTAAGAATATAACCCAAAAAGGTGTTTGGCATTTCCTTTAAATCTTCCAGTACACGCTGTTTATTATCTCAGTGGGTTAATTCACGGATTATAGTTTAAAGATTACCAGCAAACCAAGCATAAGCTTAATGAGTTATTAATGCCTACGCAGAGGATTTGGGGAAATTAGGTTGCAACTCCTAGACTCCAGATCATATTAGTTTCATCCAACTCACTCTTTGTTAATCGCCTGAAGAGGCTGCAACACATATTTCTGCAAATGTTTTTGATTTTAAAAATGAAATGCACATATTTTTCTTTTCTTAGGATTTAATTTGGTTACACCAATCAAAATGGCAAAAATGATGATTTCTAGTAAACAAACTGGTTATTTAAGTGACTTAAACTGCAATTAAATACACAGATAATCATTTGGACAATCTTAAATAGGTCTACTATTTAAAACTTCACATTTCTATTGCATAAATGCACATTGGAATCCGGTTTGCTCGTTAAAAATCTTACTCTTTATCTGGAAATCTGGTTATTAAAAACCCTTACACTCACCGGCCACTTTATTAGGTACACCTATCCAACTGCTCCTTAACGCAAATTTCTTATCAGCCAATCACATGGCAGCAACTCAATGCATTTAGGCATGTAGACATGGTCAAGACAATCTGCTGCAGTTCAAACCGAACATCAGAATGGGGAAGAAAGGGGATTTAAGTGGCATTTCTGGCAGTTTTGCAGGTCATTTTCTAGATAATTGGACTAGAAACAAGACAAAAACTCTTAAGCATTTTTTCTGCATTTCCCTCATGTCTGACACTTCTGTAAATGCACATGAACTTGTTGAAATCCCTCATTCGTCCTCCTCTGGAGCTGAAATGCTAATTTTATCACAGTTTCAAGAGTTCACACTTAGATACTGTTTGACAACTTGTTAGCAAGTTAGCAGGTTTGGCATGCTGTCCCGGGAGAGAACCCTGAGCTTGGAGAAAGTTGAGCCCAGGGCTCCCGCCAGGTCCATAAAGCATGTGAGGGGAGTACGAGGTCAGGTGTTCTCGAGAGCTCCCCTCGGCAAAAGAGGAAAGGAGGAGAAGCGGTGGATGGGGGGTTTCTTCGGAAAACGAAGATAGGGGTGAAGATCTTAGCTAGGTTATTTATAGTGAGTTTGGATCGATCTGATTGCTAGCTAATGAGTGTAGATGAGTGGCCAGCTGCAGTCAATCATATCACGTGCTCCTCTGGAAATTAGTTTGTGAAACTTCATTTTGCAGTTCATTTCAACTTATTATTTCTCATAACAGCTTAAAATGTTTGCTTCTCATATATAAAAAAGCTTCTGGATTAGTTTTTTTTTTCGATATTTGGTCTAGAAACAAGACAAAAACTCAGAGACAGAAAAGCATTTTTGGCAGTTTTGTATTTTGTTTTGCATTTTAACTCATTTCTGAAAACATCAAAATATTTTGCTGGTCTCAGGAAATGCTTTGTAATTAAAGACTAAAGACAAAAACTCTCAGACAAAAACATTTATTGCAGTTTTGTAGTTCATTTTGACTCATTATTTCTGAAAAAAACTAAATACTTGTTTCTTTTCTAAGAAAGTGCTTCTAAATTTAAGAATTTCTAGATATTTGGACTCCAAACAAGAAAAACTCAGAGACAGAAAGGCAGTTTTGCAGTTCATTTTGACACATTTTTTCTGAAAACAACAAAATATATTTTCTTATTAATAAAAAACTTCTTGAATTAAACATTTAAAGATATTGGGACTAAAAGAAAGACAAAAACTCTTAAGAAAAAAAGCATTTCATTGCAGTTTTGCTGTTCATTTTGACTTGTTATTTCTGAAAACAACAAAATATTTTCCCTTGTCTAGAAAAAGCCTCTTGATTTAAGATTTTCTAGATATTTAGACTAGAAATAAGACAAAAACTCCAAGACAGTAAAGCATTTTTGGCAGGTTCACAGTTCATTTTAACTCCTTATTCTAAAAACAACTAAATGTTTTTCTGGTCAAAGGAAATGTTTCTTAATTGAAGACTTTCTAGATATTTGGACTAGAAAAAAGACAAAAACTTAAATCCTTTTGACTCATTATTTCTAAAAACAACTAAATAATCTTTGCTTTTCTATAAAAAGCTTCTTGATTTAAAAAAAAATCAATATATTTGGTCTAGAAATAGGATAAAAAAGGTTTTTTTTTTTTTTTTTTTGCATTCACCCATGTCAGACTCTTCTCCAAATGCACATTTACTTGATGCAATCCCTCATCCGTCCTCTTCTGGGGCTGAAATGCTGATTTTACTGCAGTTTTGTAGTTCATTTTGACTCATTATTTCTGAAAAAAACTAAATACTTGTTTCTTTTCTAAGAAAGTGCTTCTAAATTTAAGAATTTCTAGATATTTGGACTCCAAACAAGAAAAACTCAGAGACAGAAAGGCAGTTTTGCAGTTCATTTCGACACATTTTTTCTGAAAACAACAAAATATATTTTCTTATTAATAAAAAACTTCTTGAATTAAACATTTAAAGATATTGGGACTAAAAGAAAGACAAAAACTCTTAAGAAAAAAAGCATTTTTTGCATTCACCCATGTCCGACACTTCCCTAAATTCACATGAACTTGTTAAAATCGTCTTCTGAAGCTGAAATGCTGGTTTTACTGCAGTTTTGCAGTTCATTTTGACTCATTATTTCTGAAAACAACTTAATATTTATACTTTCTTGAAAAAATGTCTAGAAACAAAACAAAACACTAAGACAGAAAAGCATTTTATTGCAGTTTTGTAGTTAATTTTGACTCATGAACAACAAGCAAAACATTTATGCGTGTCTAGAAAATAGGTCTAGATTTTTTGACTAATAACAAGACAAAAACTCTAAGACAAAAATCATTTTATTGCAGTTTTGCAGTTCATTTTGACTTGTTATTTCTGAAAACAACTAAATATTTTCCCTTAGAAAAAGCCTCTTGATTTAAGATTTTCTAGATATTTAGACTATATAAGACAAAAACTCCAAGACAGTAAAGCATTTTTGGCAGGTTCACAGTTCATTTTAACTCATTCTAAAAACAACTAAATGTTTTTCTGGTCAAAGGAAATGTTTCTTAATTTAAGACTTTCTAGATATTTGGACTAGAAACAAGACAAAAAAAACTAAAATCCTTTTGACTCATTATTTCTAAAAACAACTAAATATTCTTTGCTTTTCTATAAAAAGCTTCTTGATTTAAAAAAAAAAAAAATCAATATAATTGGTCTAGAAATAGGATAGAAAAGTTTTTTTTTTTTTTTTTTTTTTTTTTTTGCATTCACCCATGTCAGACTCTTCTCCAAATGCACATTTACTTGATACAATCCCTCATCCGTCCTCTTCTGGGGCTGAAATGCTGATTTTACTGCAGTTTTGCAGTTTATTTTGACCCATTATTTCTGAAAAAAACTAAACACTTGTTTCTTTTCTAAGAAAGTGCTTCTAAATTTAAGAATTTCTAGATATTTGGACTACAAACAAGAAAAACTCAGAGACAGAAAGGCAGTTTTGCCGTTCATTTCGACACATTATTTCTGAAAACAACAAAATATATTTTCTTATTTATAAAAAAACTTCTTGAATTAAACATTTAAAGATATTTGGACTAAAAACAAAACAAAAACTCTTAAGAAAAAAAAAATTTTTGCATTCACCCATGTCTGAACTGGTTAAAATCCCTCATAAATCATCTTCTGAAGCTGCAATGCTGGTTTTACTGCAGTTTTACATCTTTTCTGTTAACAACTTCATATTTTTGCTTCTTTATAAATATGTCTAGAAACAAGACAAAAAAACTCAGTTTGAACTACTAAATTTCGTAGTTCATTTTGGCTTTTTAGTGAAAACAAATAAATATATTTGCGGTCTGGATATTTGGTCTAGAAATAAGGCAAAAACTCTAAAACAAAAAAAAAACTTTTTGTTGCAGTTTTTTAGTTCATTTTCACTCATTATATCTGAAAACAACACAATATTTTTGCTCATCTAAGGAAATGTATCGTGATTTAAGAGTTTCTAGATATTTGGACTATACAAACAAGACAAAAACTCAAAAACAGAAAAGCTTTTTTGGCAGTTTTGCAGTTCATTTTGACTCATTATTTCTTAAAACAGCACAATATTCTTTTGTTTCTCTAGACAAATCATCTTGATTTAATAATTTCTAGATATTTGGACTAAAAACAAGACAAAAACTCTCAGACAAAAACATTTATTGCAGTTTTGCAGTTCATTTTGACCCATTATTCCTGAAAACAACACAATATTTTTGCTGGTCTAAGGAAATGCATGGCGATTAAAGACTTTCTAGACATTTGAACTAGAAACAAGACAAAAACACAAATACAGAAAGGCATTTTTGGCAGTTTTGCAGTTCATTTCGACTGATTATTTCTGAAAACAACAGAATATTTTTGCTTCACTATAAAAGCTTCTTAATTTAAGACTTTCTAGATATTTGGACTAGACCAAGACAAACTTTTAAGTAAGGAAAGCTTTTTTTTTTTGCATTGCACCCATGTCTGACACTTCTCTAATTGCACATGTACTTGTTGAAATCCCTCACTCCTCCTCTTCTGGAGCTGAAATGCTGATTATCTGTAAAGCGTCTGGATCTCCTACACCAGCCCCAGCACACGAGCGGCCCACCAGCGGCAGGGCATGATGAGCCTGCAGACGGGCCGGCAGCCGTGGTAGTTGTAGGGCCAGGGCCAGTAGCCGCCCAGAGGCTCGCACACCCGCTCGCAGTGAGTGTAGCTGCGGTGACATTCAGTACAGCAGATCCCACGATGATCCAGCATGGGGTCGAACACCATGGTGCCCTCCGAACCCTGATTCTGCTGCTGAGACAGACACCAGACAGAGCGGTCAGCTATTATTGTCCATCAATATTTACAGTTGAAGTCACAATTATTCACCTGTTTCTTTTCTTTTAAAAATATTTCCCCAATGATGTTTAACAGATTCAGGAATTTTTCACAGTTTTTCCTATTTGAACTAGAATAAAAGCAGATTTTAATATTTTAAACCCATTTTTAAGGTCAATATTATTAGCAATATTAGTTTTGGATTGTCTCCAGAACAAACCACTGTTATACAATGACTTGCCTAATTACCCTAACTTTACCCTAATTAACCTAGTTAAGCCTTGGCGCGACGCAACTGACTCTTAAAAGGGAATGGAAGATGAGACTCTGATTGGTTTAATGCACGTTATTCTATGAATAAGCTCAACCCTGTTAGACCATGCACCGGGGTGCAGAGCATATTATTCCATCCTTAAAATAGCAAAAGTTGATTCAAACATGCTTAATGCTTTTGACTTTGCGCCTAGATTGTTAAAATAGAGCCTGTTATGTTTAAAAATGTTGAAAAAAGTATTCTTTCCGTCAAACAGAAATTAGTGCAAAAAAATACAGGGGACATGCATTAACTAGGGTAATTAGGGTAAAGTTAGGGTAATTAGGCAAGTCATTGTATAACAGTGGTTTGTTCCAGTGGTGTTGCGAGGGGGGGGGGGGGGGGCTTTGGGGGCTTAAGCCCCTGATGTATTGTCAAAAGCCCCTGATCTTTTGCAATATGTTGCACTTAAATAAAAATATGGTGTATAACATTTATTTTATTGTATAAGTACTAAAATTACGGCGTACATCACGCACATTCCACCTCACGCAGTGTTTGTGTCGGGTCAGCTGTTCAGCAGTACCTGTATCTACCGGCAGGTGGGAGTGGCACTGTTGTCACATGATGTTTAAAAATATTCCGCCACTGCACTTCATTTATTCATTATTTTGAAGAGCTGAAGCTGATGAGGTAATAATACAACTCTTTCGCGAAACGAATTAGTTCTGACTACTGATTAAGCTTAACATTTGTTTCCACAGTATAAAATGTGTGAAGTTTTGGTGAAATAAAATAACTGTAATGGATAAAATGTGCATCATATCAATGCATACATGCGAATTAGTCAGAAAAACGTAAATTGTTCCAGCGTTCTAGATATGATATAGATATCTAGGCATATTTATCTAGATATGATATTGCCAGTCACATCTGTTTCTGTAATAGTTAAATCACAGTGAGTTCATGCATCTAGCAAATTATTTTATAGCTTCTATTATAACATGCTATATCAGTTAGCACGGAATTATAAATCGACTTTATTCTTATAAAAATACATGAGATGGCTTGAAGAAGACATACAGTTGAAGTCTGATTAGCCCCAGTTGAATTCGCCCCCTGTTTATTTTTTCCCCTAATTTCTGTTTAACGAAGAGAAGATTCTTTCAACACATCTCTGATGTTATTAATAGTTTTAATAACTCTAATAACTGATTTATTTTATCTTTGCCATGATGACTGTAAATAATATTTGACTAGACATTTTTCAAGACACTTCTATACAGCTTAAAGTGACATTTAAAGGCTTTAAAGGCAGGTTAGGGTAATTAGGCAAGTTATTGTATAACGATGGTTTGTTCTGCAGACTATCGGAAAAATTTTTTTGCTTAAAGGGGCTAATAATTTTGACCCTAAAGGGTTTTTTAAAAATGTAAAACTGCTCTTATTCTAGCTGAAATAAAACAAATAAGAATTTCTTTTAAAAGAAAAAATATTATCAGACATACAGTGGAAATTTTCTTGCTCTGTTAAACATCATTTGGGAAATATTTAAAAAAGAGAATAAAATCTTTGGGGCTAAGCCCCTTATCCCTTTCGACCCTAGCAACACCCCTGGTTTGTTCTGTAGACAATCCAAAACAAATATACTGTAGCTTAAGAAGGCTAATAATATTGACCTTAAAATGGGTTTAAAACAATTAAAAAACCTTTTATTCCAGCCGAAATAAAACAAATAAGACTTTCTCCAGAAGACAAAACATTATAGGAAATACTGTGAAACATTTCCTGCTCTGTTAAACATCATTTTGGAAATATTGCAAAAAGCCATTCACTGAAGGTCGAATAATTCAAACTTGTATAATCAGGACCATTAGTTTCCTAAAACAACCATCCTACAGGCTCTCTGTGTTTGTTAATGAAGGACAGAAGGTGTTTCTCACATGATAGGGGTTCTCTGGGTTGTATTCGGGCCCTGTGGGTCTCTCGTCTCTGGCTGAAGCTGTGGAGTTTCTCCGCCTGGCCGGTTGTCGATTTATTCCAGCTGAAGTCTGGCGTCTCATTCGTGTCGCACTCCTCCTCTTCCTCAGCGCTTCACACACACCACAGATTCAAGATTAACAGCATTAAAGAGACATATCTATCAGCTCCAAATGGAAATCATCACCAATTGTCAGAGTATCCCTAGTAGCAAAGAATTATGGCCCAGATTTGGTATAAAGCTGGCACAGCAGGCATTCATCCGGCACTGGCATACAGCATGTGGGCCAAACATGGCCCGGGTTTGGCAGAGGCGGCACCGTCTTTAAGGCGGCACACAAGATTTGGGCCAGATGAAAAACGTAGTATTTGGCCCAAATTTAAAAATGTGATAAGTGGGCCATTTGAGTTTGGCCAGTCTTGACCCACATTTAAAATACACTAAAATCATTTTTGAGTAAAGAAAAAAAATTCTACCAATCAGGTCACTTTGAGAAAAAGCGTGCCCAAAGTGTGCCTAAAGCGCATCACTCCATGGGTTTATCAATTTCATTGCAATCGTGACACACCAACCTATCTGGCCCAGTTCAGGCCCAGTTATGAGTTATTAACTTGGCTGAGACTTGGCCCAGATATGGTCTGTGTTTGGCCCTTGTCTGGAAGCCAGATTTGGTCCAGTCATGTACCGTAATTCACTGCGGCATGTGGGCCAAGCAAAACCTGATTGTGTGGGCCAGAGCTGGGCCAGAGAAATTTTGCTATGTGGGATGCGTGTAAATGACCAGCACACTGCAAACAATCACTGTGTTTTTGTTGTGTTTTCAGCACAAAAATCTACAGTAGTCAAAAACTTTAATGAATCTGGTCCTACTTTATATTTGACTGCTGTAAATATTCATAGATATAAGATTCATCAAGATATTCATTCGTTCATTCCTTTTCTTGTCAGCTTAGTCCCTTTATTAATCCAGGGTCACCAACTTATCCAGCAAGTTTTTAAGCAGCGGATGCCCTTCCAGCCGCAACCCATCTCTGGGAAACATCCACACACACACTCATACACTACGGACAATTTAGCCTACCCAATTCACCTGTACCGCATGTCTTTGGACTGTGGGGGAAACCAGAGCACCCGGAGAAAACCCACGCGAAGGCAGGGAGAACATGCAAACTCCACACAGAAACGCCAACTGAGCTGAGGTTCGAACCAGCGACCTTCTTGCTGTGAGGCGACAGCACTACCTACTGTGCCACTGCCTCGCCCTCAGCAAAAATATTTTTATTTTAAAAAAGGCACAGTATTAAGTTAGTTTTCGTTTTAGAAATTTGTGAAAAAAGTTGTATCAAATTTTAACACAGACTGGGACTGAACTTGTCATTTTTGACAATCCTAGTTAGAACCAAGCAGCAACATCCTGCAAACATCCCGCAAACAAAATGGTGACGGTTGGCCATGCCAACTTGTTGCTGCATTTGCACTTTTCAGAAACCTATGTGTGACATCACGGATACTACATCCATATCTCTCACAGTGAATGGTTATTCCATTGGCTTCTGTGTCTTTCCCTGTGCTTTTGGTATGATCATGTGGTCCTTTGTTCGTGTTCTGTTCTGGGACTGGTCTACTTTGTCATTTCTGCGATTCCAGTGTGTCTTTTTAATAGTGAACATCATAACAAAGTAGACCAGTCCCGAAACTAAACAAAAGCAGGGGTATAAATACAAGCGGCACAATAACTCTATAGCATAGCATAATAACTCTATGGGCTCTATTTTGACGATCTAGGCGCAAAGTCCAAAGCGCAGAAGCATCAAGGGCATGTCTGAATCCACTTTTGCTATTTAAAGGACGGAAAAATACACTTTGCGTCGTGGCGCATGGTCTAACAGGGTTGAGCTTATTCTCTTAATGAGTTTTAGGTGTGTTTTGAGAATAAACCAATCAGAGTCTCATCTCCCATTCCCTTTAAGAGTCAGTTGAGTCGCGCCATAAGCGCATTTGCTATTTACAAGGCAGACTTTGTAAGTGGAAAAACTGAATGATTCACTAGAGAGAAAACGGTTAAACAGAGCATATGCAGCGCGAGAAGGAGAGATAAGCCTCCTCATTCTTTACTTTCACTCTCATGCAAGGAAACATGTTGTACGCACAGACATCAATTAGCCTATAAATAATTAATTTCATTTATTAACCGCAAAGATTTGTTTCAAAACTATTTCTAAATTCAGTTTGAATTTACAGCAAACGAATAAATGAACAATAATAACGAAGTGTGCTCAAACAACTGAGTTACATCCAAATACACATGCTGTGCCCCATATGGTCTAAAACCTGACAGGTGGACAAATCTAAGCTTGTTTTTAATAAAACAAATATAAATATGCAGATAATAAATTGTCACCGACTCGGTCCCAGTCATTCCCCTCGCTGGCCAGCAGAGGTCACCATCCCTGGACTATTAACCATTACGTCATCCACTTACACTGATAGCCTGCACACCTGAAGCGCATCCACTTGATCACCCACGCTCACGCTTATAAGCAGCACACACACACTCATTCATTGCAAAATCTTTTTCTGCCCCGGCTAACACTGCTGAGCATTTATCTACACTTCCTGCTTTCCCGTTGCTTACCTTGCCTTGTTCCTCGACCTCGTCCTGCCAGTCGCCTGCCTTGTACCTCTGCCTGCTTACCGACTTTGATCCAAGCCGCCTGCCTTGAACTCTAGCCTAAACGCCGACCTTGATATTCGCCGCCTGCCTCAGACCCATGCCTGAACATTCATACTGTGATTACCTTCCTTCAACCCTGCTACGTAACACTATTGTGTTTGATGTGAGTTTGCACACGCATTACATCTGTGTGCTTGTCTTTATTAAACTGTGTTTAATAAACATACTGCAAATGGATCCCTCTGTGTCAGCCCTTTCGTTACATAAATAATGCTGTTAATAATAATAACATTAAACAAAAGAAAATGGTTATGAATAAACTGAAAAAGCCCCCTGAGATGAAGAAGGCATGGAGGCTGTGGTGTTTTTATTTATGTAGAAAATAATAATTTTTGTAATATTGTAATCCTTTAATTTTTTTTTCATATGTAAAGATATGTGTGTATTGCTCTACATCTTGTGTGTATTAAGCAGTGTGTAAGTGAGGCGCACAACTAACGTGCTCTGCGCTGGACTTTTCCTCTCAGCTGGTCTATTCTGCAGTCTATTTTAGTTCCTCGAAATAGCAACACGCCAGCAATGCACCTTTACACACCTCCTTTTTTTTGGCCTGGAACGCCTATGGGCGCACATATGAGCGCAAATGCATTTGCTATTTAAACAGCGTGCACAGAAAACATCAAAATGACTCTTGTGCCAAGCTTAAACTAGCAAACGACAATTGCGCCATGCCTTGCGCCGCATTGCACTGGGTGTATGATAGAGCCCTATAACTGTATAACACACAGGGGAGGAGCACAGGTGAAAATCATGAAACTAGAGGTGGGAAAAACAGAACAAAGGAGCACATGATCATAACAAAAGCACATGGAATAACACTCTGGGAAGTCACATGACATAACAGACAGAGGTACACCAGACAAGACCCTGACACATACAGTGTTATCCCTGGATTTCATAAATAGCCTTACATTTAACACAGACTATAATGAGTGCACTTCCACATTGCAGACTAATGTCGGTACTGGGCCTTAAATGGTTTGTTTTTGAGAGAATGTTTGCTGTTACTCTGTCATTGCTCTTGTTTCAGGTTTGCTGATAATGATGTGCTGTACCTCTGGAGTTTGCGGGGTGGTGCCAGTAAATGGGCAGATCTGCACAGAATCGCAGTATTTCGGGGCTCAGGAAGCTGCTGTCCTTCAGTGGCTCTTCTGAAGTGATCCAGACCAGAGACGCCACCTCAGCTTTCACTCCGGCTTCATCCTGCGGGAAACTAAACATCAAACCTCCTGCAAGACTCTGAGGTGTGTCATTCGACGTTTTTCTGCAACTAGGAATTTTTTTACTTTTTTTTAATTTGAAGCTTCTTTACTGAAATCATGTGCCTTGCTAATTTGATACGTGCTCTGAGACACTGATTCAAAACAAAAGATTGAAAAGTTTTGACATGTTTCTAAATCTTTTTTAAATTAGTCATTCATTCATTTTCTTGTCGGCTTAGTCCCTTTATTAATCTAACCCAAGCTCATTCTGGAAACGTAGCCCCGCGGACGTTTCTGTAGACCGCGATTTACGTAGCCGGAGGTACGTAAGGCCGCGTTTAGTTTTTTTCGAGCGAACGCTGCGGGGAGGTGTGGCGCCGCTCCGCCCCTCCTCTTCGCGCTCGCCGGCCGACGGCTCGCCTCCGAGTGGAGGGCTTTCCTGATGCAACCAGTTTGTCCACTTAGCTCACAGCGTTGCGTCGGTGGAGCGGAGGCCCCGGAGGAGGAGGAGAAGGAGGAGCCGGCCGCAGGGACGACGACCGCGATTGAGTTCGGGGAACAGCGGTTCCAGAAATCAGGTAAGATGAAAAACAGAATCCGAAAAATAAGGGCGAGAACGCGGCGGGATCTGAAAACGCGGTCAAAATCGAAGACGAGGGCTTTTGCTTTTTTTTCTGGACGGCTTTTGCGAACCGTCGCTCGGGTTTAGGGAAGGAGGAGGAGGAGGAGGAAGAGGAGGGCAGCCAAGTCGGCCGATCCGTCGGCTTTTCGCGAGAGAACGGTGCGGGCGCGAACAGCACGTGTTCCCAAGAGGCGCCCGAGACGCGAAAAAGCACGCACAGAGGGCTCTCACGGATCCGCGAAAACAAAAACCACTCGAATACGTACCTCCCGGGACGTAAATCGCGGTCCGCAAAAACGTACGCGGGGCTACGTTTCCACAATGAGCCCGGGTTGTATTAATCTGTGGTCGCCACAGCGAAATAAACCCTTAACTTATCCAGCAAGTTTTTACACAGTGAATGCCCTTCCAGCCACAACCCATCTCTGGGAAACATCCACACACACATTCACACACACACTCATTCACTACAGACAATTTAGCATACCCATTTCACCTGTACCGCATGTCTTTGGACTGTGGGGGAAACCGGAGCACCCGGAGGAAACCCACGCGAAGGCAGGGAGAACATGCAAACTCCACACAGAAACGCCAACTGTTTTTTAAATTATATATATGCTGAATATTTAACATCAGAATCATTACAAAATAATGCAATTATGACATCCACATCATATCAGACAAAACAAGAAAATAATCATCAATCATTCATACATTTTAAAGCAGGGGTCACCAAACTTGTTCCCGGAGGGCCGGTGTCCTGCAGATTTTAGCTCCAACCCTAATCAAACACACCTGAACAAGCTAATCAAGGTCTTACTAGGTATACTTGAAACACCCAGGCAGGTGTGTTAAGCCAAGATGGAGTTAAACCCTAAAGGGACACGGACCTCCCGGACCGAGACTGGTGACCCCTGGTTTAAAGCTTACCTATTAAAATGAAAAGATTTAAGATAAAATACTGACTTTTATCAATATCTTTTATGTATGGACAGGTAATATTACGTCTCCCGAATTAGATTTAATCAATATATTGAATAAACTTTCAACATCACTCCAAAAATATTTCACACATGCTGATCTACTGGGATTTTCACGCACAACCATCTCTGGGGTTTACAGAGAATGCTCCGACAAAGAGGAAATATCCAGTGAGCGGCAGTTCTGTGGGCGCAAATGCCTTGTTGATGTCAGAGGTCAGAGGAGAATGGCCAGACTGGTTCCAGCTGATAGAAAGGCAACAGTAACTCAAATAAGCACTCGTTACAACCGAGCTCTGCAGAAGAGCATCTCTGAACACACAACATGGCCAACCTTGAGGCGGATGGGCTACAGCAGCAGAAGACCACACCGGGTGCCGCTCCTGTCAGCTAAGAACAGGAAACTGAGGCTACAATTCACACAGACTCACCAAAACTGGACAATAGAAGATTGGAGAAACGTTGCCTGCTCTGATGCGTCTCCATTTCTGCTGACACATTCGGGTGGTCGGGTCAGAATTTGGCATCAACAACATGAAAGCATGGATCATCCTGCCTTGTATCAGCAATTCTGACTGGTGCTGCTGGTGGTGTAATGGTGTGGGGGAGATTTTTTTGGCACACTTTGGGTCCATTAGTACCAATTGAGCATCGTGTCAACGCCACAGCCTACCTGAGTATTGTTGCTGGCCATGTCCACCCCTTTATGACCACAGTTTCTCCATCATCTGATGGCTACTTCCAGCAGGATAACGCGCCATGTCATAAAACTCAATCATCTCAGACTGGTTTCTTGAACATGACAATGAGTTCACTGTACTCAAATGGCCTCCACAGTCACCAGAGCTCAATCCAATAAAGCACCTTTGGGATGTGGTGGAGATTGGCATCATGGATGTGCAGTCGACAAATCTGCAGCAACTGTGTGATGCTATCATGTCGATATGGAGCAAAATCTCTGAGGAATTTTTCCAGTAGCTTGTTGAATCTACGCCTTGAAGGATTAAGGCAGTTCTGAAGGCAAAAGGGGTCCAACCGGTACTAGTAAGGTGTACCTATTAAAGTGGAAGGCGAGTGTATATCATGTCAAAACAAACTTTTATTTTGGATGTGAGTGATGGAAATTAATCTTTGCAAAACATTAATTTATATGCAAATTTTCCATCTAATATTTATATTCTAATAAGCACGAATCTGGCAGTAACTTGTAACAAACATAATTTGGTTGTGAATTGTGAATTGTTTGACTGACATTAGGTGTGGGCGTGTCCAGGAAGCCAGTATATTGTTCTATATAATGATGTTAATCACACACTCCAGCTGGATTATTTAGAGAGGGACAGTCTGTACATGCCTGATGAGAAAGTTTATTTGTAGCTACAGCTAATGAATTGTTTTCTGATTTAAACAGGTTTAATTATCTCAATTATGTTTAATTATGAAGCAGATGTGTTTCTGAGGTTTATGCAAAATGATGATGGACGTGTAGATTAATTTCTGAGCGACTGTTTTAGTCATTTGTTTTGATATTCTCGATGGGGTCAGAGCGGGCACACTTGAGCTACTTATATAGTTGTTTTAGTGATGTTTTATAAAACGATGAAAGTTTCTCACCTCAGAAAGTTCAGTTCTAGCTTGTGATTTGATGAAGCATTTCTCTTTTCCGGGAAACTTGACGGCGGTGATGCCCTGTGAAATGATGCACAATAATAGTGTTGTTAAGCGAACATCTCTGAGACGAGATAATTGTGTTTGTTTCTTTCACTCACAGCTTTAAAGTCTTGAACTTCCACGATCGTCCCCTCTGCAGAATCTGAATCATCTTCAATCTTTATATCGATGTTTCTGCCCAGGTGAGCGCTGATCGCCTGATGATGACAACAGCGTTAGTTCAGTCACTTAATCTAAACCATTAAAAGTACATTTATGCGATATTAAAATTAGTTATAATTAATTGTTGTTTTATTACATTTTTAAAAAATAAAATTGGAAATAATAATAAACATGGATGTAACATTTTTTATTAATAGAAGTCATTATTAAAGAAACATTTTCCATTTACTCTACCGGTCAAATGGGGTAATTTAAAAAAAAGAAAAAAGAAAATGATTATGTTCATCAAGGTGGCGTTTATAAAATGTAAATAAAAAAATGTATTATTAAATATTTATAAAAATTTTAAATAACTGCTTTCTTATTGTATGTAGTTTGGAATGCAATTATTACTCCAGTCACTATTGCTTTTATTACTATTACATTAATAATAATAATAATAATAATAATAACATTAATAATAATATTAATAATAATCATTTTATAAATTAATAATTAATAATATTAGAGGGATTTCTAAAGCTTCATGTGACACTGAAGACTGGAGTAATGAAGCTAAATATTCACCTTTAAAATTACTGGAATAAATTATTAAACTAAATTTAAAGTAATACAATTATTTTGACCATTATATATATATATATATATATATATATATATATATATATATATATACATACATCTTGAAACCAAATTTAGTTTTTCAGTTTCTAGTAATATTGACAAATAATTGCAAAAAAAAGAGAAAATTTTAAAGTAAAAATATACACAATTTTTACAACTTTAAATTATCATTTTCTAGCAAAATTATAGCAGTATGCAAATAAATAAACAAATGAATGAATGAATGAATGAATGAATGAATGAATGAATAGAAACAATTAAATAATACAAAATAAACTGCAAAGATCAGTGCTAAAATAAACAGTGGGGAAAAACGGTTCAAAAGCACTTTTACTCAGACATTTTTGTTAATTTTACAAGCCACAAATTAAACAAACACACCAAAAATAGATAATGTTTGGAAAAATATACTTGGAAAAGTATATATATTGTTATAATAATGCATGTATCATGCATTTGGGTTAATTGAACATTATATTTTTTTGAATGCATTAATCCTTTTTGATGAAAAATACATTTAAAATGGATATAAAACTAGTTATGATTAATTGTTTTTTATTAAATAAAAAAAATTATTATAAATAAATGTATATCAATTAACATATTTAAGATTTTCCATATATATATATATATATATATATATATATATATATATATATATATATATATATATATATATATATATATATATATATATATATAAATGTAAAAAGAGAAATACACAATATTTATACTTTAAAGTGTTATTTTTCTAGTGAATGGCAACATAAATAAAAAAAACATTACGAAAATAAGAAAATCAATAAAAATGTGGAAAAAATTCAATTGGAAAATAATTTAAAATATTTTAAATAAAACTAAATCCTATCGGAAAAAGATACCAACTGAAAATACTAAACCTAGAAACCACTGAAAAACAAATGGTCAAAAAGAATCGTCAAGTAACACGCTTAATTACATGTGAGGATCTGAGGTAAAAATATTATTAATAAATTATAGCAAACAGTATGCAAATAAATAAATAAATGCTGGAACAGAAACAATTAAATATTACAAATCAAAGTGAAAAATGGTAGAAAAAAATAAATTATAAAAGAAATAAATAGAAAAAAATAAATAAATAGAAAAAAATAAATACATAGAAAAAATAAATAGTAAAATAAATAAATAAATAAGTAAATAGAAAAAAAAGTTTAATAAATAAATAGAAAAAACATAGGAAAATAAATAAATGAATAATAGTAAAATAAATAGAAAAAATAGTAAAATAAATGAATGAATGAATAGCAAAATAAATAAATAGAAAAAAATAGTAAAATAAATAAATAAATAAATAAATAGAAAATATAAATGGTAAAATAAATAAATAGAAAATATTAATAGCAAAATAAATAGATAGTAAAATAAATAAATAAATAAATAGATAGATAGAAAATATAAATAGTAAAATAAATAAATAGAAAATATAAATAGTGAAATAAATAAATAGAAAATATAAATAGTAAAATAAATAAATAAACAAATAAATAGAAAAAAAATAAATAGAAAAAAATAAATAGTAAATTAAATAAATTAATAAATAAATAGAATAAAAAAATAGTAAAATAAATAAATAAATAAATAGGAAATAAATAAATAAATGTGTACAAAATAAATAATAAAATATAAATTTTAAAGTTTAGTGCTAAAATAAAGTACAGCATGGGAAAAAATGGTTCGAAAGCATTTTCACTCCTGTTTTTTTTTTTTTTTTTTTCAAAAAATTTCACCAGCTGTGTGTTAAATTATATTTTTTAAAAGTCAGTAAAAATTAGATAATGTTTGTTTAAAAAATATACTTTGAAAAATATATGTGTTATAATGCATAGGTGCCAATCGAACATTATTTTTTTTATGCATTCATGTATTTTGATGCATCACTGGGTTTTAATCTATAACAGCAGCAACAAACCTAGAGAACTACTGATTTAACCCATATGAAAACAGGATGCGTAATATTCACCCATGATTATGATGATTATTTCTGTGCTTGAGGCTGCAGGGCGGCTCATTCGTGTTTGTGTAGGGCAGTGAGGCCTGCTGATGTGTTTGCACTGTTAACACTGCGTGATTATAACCCTGCACACAGACCTCTTTGTTTGCCGTCTTTAACCTGCCGCATTTTTCTGAAATACCAGAGGTGCCTGAAATCAATGGCTGCAAATGCAAAACACGGCACGCTCGCTTTATTGATCAACCTTGACACTTTGCTGAGACCAACTGCAATTTAAATATTTTCAGGCTCAAACTCATTGTATGCGTGCTTTGCATATCCATGCGTCTGCAACTATTGCACGTTTAGAAAATTGGCCATTGTGCAATGCTAGATATTAAAAATGTATACTTTAAAAATAGCACAAAATTCCCCCCACGACTGCATGCATGCAAATTAAGCCCAAAACACAGAACAATCTGTGCATATCTAGAAGAACAAATTGTTAAAAAAAAAAAAAAAAAATGATGTTGCAACATCTGTCACAGTGAGTTAAATCATTCCGGCTTGAGTTGCTTTATTAATCATGAAGGTTTGACTGCAGGCACTACTTCAATTTCCATTTAAGACACAAGTTTAATATCTAAAATATATATTTTTCTCTAGGGTAGTTGCAGCATGTTTCTGAATGCTTGCACCAATTTTGAGCCAAATTGGTTCAAGTTCATAAGCAGTATTAACATTTTTCATGACAAAAACAGTTAAATCACCAGTTAAAATGACACCAAATGCTAATAATAAAACTAACAACACTGATTGTTTTTTAATCTACATTTTATTCACAAATATTGCAAGTAAATAATCATAAGATATTGCTTACACATTTCATTAGGTGTGAAATTTGAGATAGTTCTTTTTTCCTTTAATCATATTTTCTTTTAACTATAGTAATAAACTGGAAAGCTATATAGGCCTAAAATAAAGCATAGTGGAGAAATATTGATTCAAAAACATTTTTACTCACACATGACACATTTAATCAAATACATTTAATCTAACATGGAATTTTTTAAAGAAAAGATAGTGTTTGCTTGTAAAATATACTTTGAAAATATATATTGGTGTAATGCATATATCAAGCATGGGTGCCATTTAAATGTTAATGCAAAAATTCCTTTTAGATGAATATATATATATATATATATATATATTAAACATTGCATAATTGGCAACAGTCAACGGCATCTAAAAGGATTTTTTGCATATATATATATTTTTTTTTTTTTTTATATTAACACACAGCGGCACAAAATTTACACTATGAATGGATATACTCAAATTATACCCAAATCACAGAACAAATTGTAAAAAACGGTCACAATGTCACAATGAATTATATAATTCTGGCTTGAAATGCAGTATTAATAATGACAGTTTGACTGCAGGCACTACTTTAATTTCCATTTAAGCCATGAGTTTAATATATAAAATGCATATTTTTGTCGAGCAAAGTTTGCAACATGTTTCTGAACCCTTGCACCAATTTTGAGCCTAATTGGTTATTCCATAAGCACGATTAACATTTTTTTATTGGTGATGTGTTATCATTTTACATCAAGTAAAATGATAATAAATGTACATCATAAAACTAGTTTTTCTTTTATAAACTAAAACTAACTCATCGGTCTGAAAGAATTGATAACATTTAATTAGATGTGAAGTTTGAGAAAAAAATATTTTAATAATTTTTTCTTTCATGTATAAAGTTAATTTGGTAAGCTACTAAGGGCGAAAATAAAGAATAGTGGAGAAATTGGTTCAAAAACATTTTTCTCTCTGAAATGTTTGTAAATTTCATACATTACACATTTAATCAAACATGAAATTTTAAAGAAAAATAAAAAAAATAGTGCTTGCTTGTAAAATATACTTTGAAAAATCTGTTTTGTAATGCGTATGTCACCTAGATGCAATGTAAAGATTACAAGAGTTAATGCAAAAATGCTTTTGTTGCTCTTGACTGTTGAGTAACACAATGTTGGATATTAAATATGTTTTTAAAAAAGAAGCAGCTCAAAATTCCCCCAATGAACGCCTGTATTCAAATTAAACTGAAAATTAAACCAAACAATTTATGAAAAAAAAGTTAAAAATCAATAAATAACTATGAATTCTTTCATTACAGCTTGAAATACAGTATTAAAAATGAAGGTTTGACTGCAGGCGCTACTTTAATTTCCATTTAAGGCACGAGTTTAATATCTAAAAAAATGTATCTTTGTCCATGAAAGTTGCAACATGTTTCTGAACGACAACTTTTGAGCCAAATTAGTTGGAAAGCTACTATAAAAATAGGTTAAAAAATGTTCTCTTAAAATGTTTGTAAATGTCACACAAAACACATTTAAATAAACATGAAATTATAAAAGAAAAGATAGTGCTTGCTTGTAACATATAAAAATAAATCCCTTTTTGATGCTGTTGACGATTATGCAATGTTGGATATATATATATATATATATATATATATATATATATATATATATATATATATATATATATATATACACACACACACACACACACACACACACACACACACACACACACACACACACACACACACACACATATATAAATTATATAAAATTAAAAACTGCTTTTATACTAGCCAAAATAAAACAAGTAAGACTTTTCCCAGAAGAAAAAAACATTATCAGCCATACTGCAAAGATTTCCTAACTTGGGAAATATTTAAAAAAAGCAATTAAAAAAATAAAAAAATTAAAAAAAATCAAAGGGGGCTAATAATTCTGACTTCAACTGTATGTTGAAAAATATATTTTTGTAATGCATAAGTCATGCATAGGTGCCATTTAAACATGATAATCTTTAATGCAAAAGTCCTAGGCTATTTTGTAAGGTTGGATAATTAACATATACACTTGAAACATAGAAGCTACTCAAAATTCCCACTTTGACTTCATACATGCAAATTAAACCCAGAATCCAAAACAAACTGTAAAATCTAGGTTACAAAGTCGCTCACAAAGAATTCTATCATTTTAACTTGAATGACTATATTGATAATGAAGGTCACTTTTATTATCCTTTAAGCCACACATTTTACATCTAACAAAATATTTTTGTCTAGGACAGTTGCAACATGTTTCAGAACAGTTGCACCAATTTTAAGCCGAATTGGTTAAATTCCATAAGAACTATAAACTTTTTCTGGGCGAATTTTTTTATTTTTATAAATCATCAGGTAAATTAATACCAAATGTAAATAGATAAATAGATAATAGATAGAAACACTGAAACGGTTTTTATACTTATATTGCAAGTAAATTTCAAATAGTCTCAAAGAATTGGGAATAGGTTTAATTAGATGTGAACTTCGTGGTGGAAAAATGGGATAAATTAAGTAAGCATAGTGGGGAAAATAGGTTCAAAAACCTTTTTTCACTCTGAAATATTTTCATACATAACATATTTAATCAAACATGAAATTCTGAAAAATATTAAACAGTGTTTGCTTCTAAAATGTACTTTGAAAAATATATTTTATAATACACTTATCATGCACAGAAACAACTGTGCACAACAAATCTGTCACAAGGAATTCCATCATTCCAACCTCAATGACTCTCTTGATAATGAAGGCTGCTTTGATTTCCATTTAAGCCACACATTTATACTCTAACAAAATATTTTTTGCAACATGCTTCTGAACACTTGCACCAATTCTAAACCAAATTGGTTACATTTCATAAGAACTTCTAACTTTTTTCTTGGCATTTTTTTTTTTTAAATCATCAGGGAAATTATCAGATGTTAACAATAAAACTAACAACACTGAAACAGTTTTCACACATAAATTGCAAGTAAATTTCAAATCGTCACAAAGAATAGGGAATACGTTTAATTAGATGAATGTTGAAGTAGAAAAAATAAAATAATGTTTTCTCTTAATATTTTTCTTTCAACTGGAAATTTACTAAGAGCTTAAATTAAGCATAGTGGGGAAAATAGGTTCAGAAACCTCTGTATTTTCACACACAACATATTTAATTAAACATGAAATTCTGGAAAAATGTAAATAGTGTTTGCTTTCTTAAAATATACTTTAAAAATATATAGTTTATAATGCAGATATCGTGCACAGAACCAACTAAAAAATTTTGTGAAATCTGTCACAATGAATTCCATCATTTCATCTTGAATGACTCTATTGATAATGAAGGTCGCTGTGATTTCCCTTTAAGCCACACATTTATCGTCTAACAAAATATTGTTTGCTCAGGAAACTTGCAACATGTTTCTGAACACTTGCACCAATTTTAAGCCAAATTGGTTAAATTTCATAAGAACTATAAACTGTTTTTTCTTGCCGCATTTGTTTTATTTTTATAAATCATCAGGTAAATTGATACCAAAAAACTTACAACACTGAAACAGTTTTCACACATATATTGCAAGTAAATTTCAAATAGTCATAAGGAATAGGGAATACGTTTGATTAGATGTGAAATTTGAGGTAGAAAAAATAAAATACTGTTTTTTTTCAACTGGAAAGTTACTTAGAGCTTAAATTAAGCATAGTGGGGAAAATAGGTTCAGAAACCTCTATATTTTTACACATAACATATTTAATTAAATATGAAATTCTGGAAAAATGTAAATAGTGTTTGCTTCTAAAAATATACTTTGAAAAGTATATTTTATAATGCAGATATCATGCACAGAACCAACTGAAAAAACTGTTGTGAAATCTGTCACAACGAATTCCATCATTCTAACTTGAATGACTCTATTGATAATGAAGGTCACTTTGATTTCCATTTAAGCCACACATTTTACATCTAAATTTTTTTTTTTCGGATAGTTGCAACATGTTTCTGAACACTTGAACCAATTATAAGCCAAATTATTTAAATTTCATAAGAACTATAAACTGTTTTTTCTTGCCGCATTTGTTTTATTTTTATAAATCATCAGGTAAATTGATACCAAAAAACTAACAACACTGAAACAGTTTTCACACATATATTGCAAGTAAATTTCAAATAGTCATAAGGAATAGGGAATTTGTTTAATTAGATGTGAAATTTGAGGTAGAAAAAATAAAATAGTGTTTTCTTTAAATATTTTTTTTCAACTGGAAAGTTACTTAGAGCTTAAATTAAGCATAGTGGGGAAAATAGGTTTAGAAACCTCTATATTTTTACACATAACATATTTGATTAAACATAAAATTCTGGAAAAATGTAAATAGTGTTTGCTTTCTTAAAATATACTTTGAAAAACATATTTTATAATGCAGAAATCATGCACAGAACCAACTGAAAAATTCTTATGAAATCTGTCACAAGGAATTCCATCATTTCAACTTGAATGACTCAATTGATAATGAAGGTCGCTTTGATTTCCCTTTAAGCCACACATTTATCCTCTAACAAAAGTTTTTTGCTCAACATGTTTCTGAACACTTGCACCAATTTAAAGCCAAATTGGTTGAAGATCATGAGCACTACTAACTTCTTTCTCTGTAACTTTCCACAGGTAAAACGCTCCGACTCCTCCGGACAGCAGCAGAGCAGCTCCGGCGATGAAGGCTACGAGCGCCGTTTTCTTCATCTTCATCAGTCCTTTGGGCTTCAGAGTGCTGTAAGCCTTATTCAAGAAAACACAAACCCAAATCCACAATCATAACATGCTATAAAGTCACATTTAAAGACGTGAACCGTCGCTTACCTCGACAGGAGTTTTCTCCGCTGTCTCCTCCATGGCGTTCCTGCGTGAACTGAAAGAAGAGCTTTGTGACTTTGTGAAGCGTCTCTCCAGTTTCTGTCATGTAGGTGAGAGAGGGGAACATTTCAGGCAAAATAAACAGGATCCCGGAGAAACTCAAGACTGGAATTCCTCTCCTGGGGTTTTTCTGTGGCTTGTGAAAACACGCGGCTGAGAGCCACGATTCAGACGCTATTCATGAGCTTTTAACTCAACTCAGATTCAATTTGTTGCCAGAAAGAGGCCCGGTTTACCTGAACCAGTATTTTTAACTTGATTTAACACAAAGACGCACTACAAAATGTCATCGAGTATAATCAATATTGGGTTTAATTGGTTAAAAATGAACTGTAAGTAGTAAAATATGAAATTTTTTCTGCTAAAAAGTATATTAATAACAGTTACTTATAATATATTTGTCTTAAATACTGTACACAAATACAACAATTCTGTATAAATCATTTGTACATACACATTTCTGTAGCAGAATTATTCTTTTTTTCGGTTTAGGTGCTCCAGGAGTGGCCTGCCCAGTCACCAGACATGAACATTATTGAGAATGTTTTTTTTTTTTTTTTTTTTTACATTATTGAGAATGTCTGGGGTAAGATAAAGGAAGATGAATCTATAGAATCTTGATGAACTCTGGGAGTCCTGCAAGAACATTTTTCTTGCAATTCCAGATGACTTTATTAAGTTATTTGAGTCGTATTTTCTTCTGATATTTTGCTAAATATCTTGATTTTTCAGCTAAATAAGTTTAGATTTTTAACAAATGTACTTTTAAGAAACTATAATTGAGTCAGAAATTAAATTGTCAGTATATGGGATTTATGAAATATGGAATATTTATGTGGCTTGAACTGTTTCATGTTTCGATGCATATTATGTTTTAATAATAATTACGATTTAAATTTTTAAAAAAGTTTTAATAAATTACTTTTCAAAAAATCTGACAAAGTAGAAAGATATACCTAAATACAGTTTTAATTATGTTTAATTAGTAAAGATAAATTTTTTTTTAAAATAACTTACCCAACAGGGCAGCATGGTGGTGCAGTGGGTGGCACAATCGCCTCAAAGCAAGAGAAGGCTGGTTCGAGCCCCGGCTGGGGCAGTTGGCATTTCTGTGTGGAGTTTGCATGTTGTCCTCATGTTGGTGTGGGTTTTCCCTGGATGCTCCAGTCCAAACACATGCACTATAGGGGAATTAGATAGGCTAAATTGTCTGTAGTGTATGTGTGTGTATTAGTGTTTCCCAGTGATAGGTTGCAGCTGAAAGGGCATCGGCTGCAAAAACCGTATGCTGGATAAGTTGGCGGTTCATTCCGCTGGGACTAAGCTGAAAAGAAAATCAATGAATGAAATTACTTTTCACACAATCAGATGAAGTAGAAAATTATACTTAAATACAATATTAATTATGTTTAATTAGTAATGAATTATTTTCTTAAAATAACTTGCCCACCACTGAGTATAGAAACAGTTTTTTATGTTAAAACTCTTGTCCTGCAGATTTGGAAGAAGACTAATTTAGTGACATATTAAAAGGCCTTATTTAAAGATTGCAGGACGGCCCCGAAATATTCACCTAAAATTTTTATTTTCATTATTTCATTTAAGGGGGTGGGTTTCCTCCAGGTGCACCGGTTTCCCCCACAGTCTAAACACATGCACTATGGGGAATTGTATGCGCTAAATTGGCCATAGTGTATGTGTGCAAATGAGAGTGTATGGGTGTTTCCCAGTACTGGGTTGCAGCTGAAAAGGCATCTGTTGCGTAAAACATACTGGATAAGTTGGTGGTTCATTCCGCTGTGATGACACCTGAATAATAAAGTGACTAAGCCGAAAATAAAACAAATGAATGAATTATTTTTGTCTACAGTTCTATTCTGAGGTGGCACGGTGGCTCAGTGGTTAGCACTGTGGCCTCACGGCAAGAAGGTCGCTGGTTCGAGTCCAAGCTGGGTCAGTTGGCATTTCTGTGTGGAGTTTGCATGTTCTCCCCGTGTTGGCATGGGTTTCCTCCAGGTGCTCCGGTTTCCCCCACAGTCCAAACACGTGCTATAGGGGAATTGATAAACTAAATCGGTCATAGAGTTTTTGTGTGTTTGTGTGTGTGTGTGTGTGTGTGTGTGTGTGTGTGTGTGTGTGTGTGTGTGTGTGTGTGTGTGTGTGTGTGTGTGTGTGTGTGAATGTAAGGGTGTGTACAGGTGTTTCCCAGTACTGGGTTGCTGTTGGAAAGGCATCCGCTATGTAAAACATATGCTGAAATAGTTGGAGGTTCATTCCACTGTGGTGACCCCTGATTAATAAGGGACTAAGCTAAAGGAACATGAATGAATGAATGAATGAATGAATGAATGAGTTCTGTTTGGCAGAAGATTTTAGATTAACGAGAAGATGAAAACCATTGTAAATTTGACCATAACTTATTTTATTTCTTGTAGTTTTATTCCTTATAAAGAAACAAACTTGTTCAGTGTAACTGTTATAAAAGTGCTAACATCCGTAGCTTTTAAAAAACAACATTTAATATATTACAGTGCGACCAAAGTGACGTACAAACACAATCACATGATAATCCTCTAAAACATGCTGAGAAGGAACTGTTAAAAATATATTCTGCATGTAGAAAACAGTGATGCAGCTGGGCTGCGATGATAAATCAATGCATTGCAAATAGTAGATCATTTCAGAGATATTAGAATGCAGCACGAGTTTCTCTGGAATCGATTCTGAGGTTTTTAACAGCAGACGACGCTCTAGACTTAGCAGATGGCGCTCTAGATTTGTTTTTAACAGCAGATGGCGCTCTAGACTTAGCAGATGGCGCTCTAGATTTGTTTTTAACAGCAGATGGCGCTCTAGACTTAGCAGATGGTGCTCTAGTTTAGTTTTTAACAGCAGATGCCGCTCTAGGCTAATTTTTTTACCGCAGTTGGTGCTCTAGTTTAGCTTTTAACAGTAGATGACACTCTAGTTTAGTTTTTAAAAGCAGATGGTACTCTAGTTTAGTTTTTAACAGAAGATGGTGCTCCTGGTGTAACCCCGCCAGTCCTATGCCACCCAACTTGCTCCGACGGGTATCAAACCAGCGACTTTCCGCATGGAAGTCGGTTGCTCTACCAAGGAGGCTAAAGACCATGGCCTCTAGCGCCTCCTTTTAGAGGTCAGAGGAGTGAGGTTTACCTGCACAGCACCTACTAGCTGGCCTCCGTTACACTGGCTCGTTTTTAACAGTACCTTATAGCACCATCTGCTGTTAAAATCTAGTCTACAGCATTATCTGCTGTTACAAACTAGCCTAGAGAGCATCTGTTGCTCTAGTTGAAACTGTTCTGGTTTAGTTTTCAACAACTGAAACCTCTCTAGGCTAGTTTTAGATGGCGCTCTAGTTTAGTTTTTAATAGAAGATTGCGCTCCTGGCCAGTATGTAACAGCAACTTAGAGTGCCATCTGCTGTTAAAAAGTAGTCTAGTCAACTAGAGCGCCATCTGCTTCTCTAGTTGAAATGGTGCTCTAGTTTAGCTTTTACTAGCAGATAGCATTCTAAGCTTGTTTTCAACACTAGATGGCACTCTAGTTTTTAACAGCAAATGGTGCTCTAGCCTTGTTTAAACAGCATATGGCATATCTAGACTTAGCAGATGGTGCTCTAGGCTAGTATTTAACAGTAGATGGTGCTGTAGTTTTATTTTCAAGAGTAGATGGTGCTTTAGTTTATTTTTAACAGCAGATGGCGCTCTAGTTAAGTTTTAAACTGCAGATGGCGCACTAGATTGTTTTAACAGAAGCTCTAGGCTTGTTTTTAACAGAAGGTAGCACTCTAGTTTTTAACAGTAGATTGTGCTCTAGCCTTGTTTTAAACAGCCCATGGCACTCTAGATTTAGCATATGGCTCTCTGGGCTAGTTTTTGCCAGAAGACGGCGTCTCTAGTGTAGTTTTTAACAGCAGACGGTGCTCTAGGCTTTTTTAAACAGCATACAGTGCTCTAGGCTATATTTTAACAGTAGATGAACAGTGGGCTGTTAAAGACTAGCCTAAAGCACAATCTGCTGTTCAGAATTAGCATATAGTGCTGTCTGCTGTTAAAAAAAGCCTAGAGCACAATCTGCTGTTAAAAACTAGCCTAGAGCACAATCTGCTTTTTAAAAACAAGCCTAGAGCACTATCTACTGTTATAAACTACCCTAGAGCAGCAGCCTGCTATTAAAAACTAGCCTAGAGCAGCAATCTGCTGTTAAAAACTAGCCTAGAGCACCATCTACTGTTAAAATCTAGCCTAGAGTATCAATCTGTTGTTAAAAACTAGCCCAGAGCGGCAATCTGCTATTAAAAACTAGCTTAGAGCATCAATCTGTTGTTAAAAAACTAGCTTAGAACATCAATCTGTTGTTAAAATCTAGCCTAGAGTATCAATCTGTTGTCAAAAACTAGCCCAGAGCGGCAATCTGCTGTTAAAAACTAGCCTAGAGCAGCAATCTGCTGTTAAAAACTAGCCTAGAGCAGCAATCTGTTGTTAAAAACTAGCCTAGAGCAGCAATCTGCTGTTAAAAACTAGCCTAGAGCTGCAATCTGTTAGATAACAGCATAGATTGCCGTCTGCTGTTCAAAAAAGCCTAGAGTGTCATCTTCTGTTAAATTTTAGTCTAGAGCGCCAATCTGTTAAAAAAAAGACGAACCCAATCCGTTGTTTAAAATTGTCCTCGAGCGCCATTTGTTTTTAACAGCAGATGGCGCTCTAGACTTTGCAGATGGTGCTCTAGATTTGTTTTTAACAGCAGATGGGGCTCTAGACTTTGCAGATGGTGCTCTAGATTTGTTTTTAACAGCAGATGGCGCTCTAGACTTAGCAGATGGTGCTCTAGTTTAGTTTTTAACAGCAGATGCCGCTCTAGGCTAATTTTTTTTACAGCAGTTGGTGCTCTAGTTTAGCTTTTAACAGTAGATGACACTCTAGTTTAGTTTTCTACTGTTATAAATTAGCCTAGAGCACCAACTGCTGTTAAAACTAGCCTAGAACAGCCATCTGCTGCTGTTTAAAGCTAGCCTAGAGTGTCGTCTGCTATTAAAAAATAAACTAGAGCAACATCTGATGTTAAAGATTTGCGCAATCTCTTTGTAAAAACAGCTCAGAATCCATTCAAGTGATAATGCATCGATGCAGGATAACTTCTCGATTCACAATGCATGTATTTATGGTCACAGCCTTTAGGCCCGTTCACACCAGGATGCTTTTGCTCACACTTTTCATCAAGGTTTAACGCCTCATGAATAAATAAAGGGTGCCAATGTTTTTTTTGTTGTTGTTGATTGGCACTTTTGCTCATGTGCCCAGAGCTGCTGAAGTTACAGTAAACACCACTTAGAGGCGCTCAAGCAGAAAACAGCCAATATGATCCCAGGTTTACTTTAATTCAATGAAGAAGAAGTTAAAGCATCGAGTCGATATGAATGTGGAGCTGCTTTTATATGTCATAAACGCAACAGCAGCTACAATAATGCCAGCAGAGGTGGAGATCAGCAAATATGATTTGATGGTGAGTTTCATTTCACTTTTCTTTCCTGACTTGCAAGTTCATTAAGCGCCATCTAATGTCAGGGGTCATTTTGCACGTTCACTCTGCTCAACACTCTGAAAACCGACTGGGGATGAATAAAGAAAAACGTTTAAAAAAAAAAATCATGAGCGAAAAGCGTCCCGGTGTGTACGAGCCTCTAGTTGCATGTTTTTTTGTGTGGTGTCAGTCAGGACTGTGCTCTGTGCTGATGGATTTGCTGGAGTCTCTGTTGTCCGTGTCGTGTCTTCTGTGTGCGTGTGGAGAGCAGATGTGGATGTAGTCATAGTTGTCTTCTGTGAGGCTCTGTAATGCGGCGCTGCGGGATGTCTGTGTGTCGTAGCCACTTCGCTGAAGTGTTCCCTGGGACGGAGGCCTGGTCCTGGAAAAGGTAGACAGATGTCTGGTGTTGGTGGTCCCGCTGGATCTGCTTACAGATGGACTCCAGCACCTGTCGGAGTGACCGAGGACACGGCACTCGCTGGTACAGGCCCACAGACCTGAGCAAAAACAGAAGGAGGGTCAGTGCACATTTGGGAAGGTCAGTCGGGCACAGAAAAATGCCATTCAGGTCCGATTTCATCAGGATTCTGACATTTCCTTTTAAGAATTCCAAGTTTACATCTTAGTATTCTGCTTATTTCTATATCTCTAAATTTTGATTCATTTTTCTTGGAGTTTTAAGTTTACATCTTGAATTCTGATTCTTTTTTTTTAGTTTCAAGTTTACATCTCCAAATACTCGTTCTTTTTTCTTGGAGTTACAAATTTACATTTCGGAATTCCGATTCTATTTTCTTTGAGTTCCATGTTTACATCTCAGGATTCTGATTCTTTTTTTTTTCTTTAAGTTCCCATGTTTACATCTCGGAATTCCGATTCTTTTTTCTTAGAGTTCCAAGCTTATATTCTGAATTTTTTTTTATTTATTTATTTATTTTTTTTGAGTTTCAAGTTTACATCTCAGAATTCTGATTCTTTTTTTCGTAGAGTTCCAAGTTTACAGCTGGGAATACTGATTTTTTTCTTTGAATTCCAAGTTTACAGCTGGGAGTATTGATTCTTTTTTTTTTTCTTTTTTTTTTGGAGTTCCAAGTTCGCATCTCAGAATTGTAATTCTTTTTTTTTATTTGAGTTCCACGTTTTCATCTCGAAATACTGATTCTTTTTCTTGGAGTTCCAAGTTTACATCTTGGAATACTGATTCTTTTTTTCTTGGAGTTCCACTTTTACATCTCAATTTCTGATTCTTTTTTATATCTTTGAATTCCAATTTTTTTTCTTCTTTTTTTTTGTAGTTCCCATGTTTACATCTCGGAATTCTGATTCTTTTTTCTTTGAGATACAAGTGTACAGATTGGTATTCAGATTTTTTTATTTTATTTATTTATTTATTTAGTTTAAAGTTTACATTTCAGAACTCTGATTCTTTTTTTTTTTTCATTTACAAGTTTACATCTCCGAATTCTGATTCTTTTTACATCTCGAAATTCTGAATCCTTTTTTTATGTTTACATCTCGGAGTTCTTGATTCTTTTTCATCTCTGAATTCTGATTCTTTTTTTTTTCTTGGAATTCAAAGTTTAAATTTTAGAATTCAGATTTTCTTAACTTACATATCGAATTTACATATGTGAGTTTGCATCTCGGTAGCATGGTGGCTCAGTGGTTAGCACTGTCGCCTCACAGCAAGAAGGTCTCTGGTTCAAGTCCTGGCTGGGTCAGTTGGCATTTCTGTGTGGAGTTTGCATGTTCTCCGAGTGTCGGCGTGGGTCTCTATAAGTGAATTAGGTGAATTAAATTGATTATAGTGCATGTGTGAATATGAGATTTTATGGGAATTTCCCAGTACTGGGTTGCAGCTGGACGGGCATCCATTGTGTAAAACGTATGCTGGAATAGTTGGCGGTTCATTGAGCTGTGGCAACCCCTGATATATAAGGGGCTAAGCAGAAGGAGAATGCAGTTTACTCATTTTGTATGTATCCAGTTCTTAAAATGCCTACTCGTTTCTTTATTTTCATCAGAAATGACATTCATTTGACTCATTGTGTGCTTGTATTTGTGTACCACAATATGCAGTCTTCAGCTCTACTAATAGCACGAGTTTGATTGCTTCGGCTCTTTGTTTCCCAAAGATTAGCGTTTAACAAGGTTGCAGCAGGAATGAATCAACATTGACCTTGAAGTGAACTGATCCAATCAACAGCTCATTAATTTGAGCACCTCTGTACTTTAACTACACCAACTCAAAGTTTGCCTGACTAATCCGCATGAGACTTCATCAATGCAACCATGATCCTGTAGAAATAATTGGCTTGCCGAACCTTTGGATGACGTCGTGGCACCTGTGACACTGTCTTCATCTGTTTCATTGCTGCAGATTCATTAAGAGCACTTAAACCATCACTGAGATCACTGTGAAACTGACTGAGTAATAAGATAATGCTCTCTTCTGCCTCATTAATGTACATTAATGTCATTCAGCAGCAAGCAGACTTTGTGTTGCATTAAATTATATTTTCACTGAGTATATACTGTCACTTTACACTCACCGGCCACTTTATTAGGTACACCTTACTAGTTCCGGGTTGGACCCCTTTTGCCTTCACAGCTGCCTTAATCCTTCATGGCATAGATTCAACAAGCTACTGGAAAATTCCTCAGAGATTTTGCTCCAAATTGACATGATAGCATCACAGTTGCTGCAGTTTTTCGGCTGCACATCCATGATGCCAATCTCCACCACATCCCAAAGGTGCTTTATTGGATTGAGATCTGGTGACTGTGAAGGCCATTTGAGTACAGTGAACTCATTGTCATGTTCAAGAAACCAGTCTGAGATGATTTATGCTTTATGACATGGTGCGTTATCCTGCTGGAAGTAGCCATCAGAAGATGGGAACACTGTGGTCATAAAGGGATGGACATGGCCAGCAACAATACTCAGGTAGGCTGTGGCTTTGACACAATGATCAATTGGTACTAATGGACCCAAAGTGTGTCAAGAATTCTCCCCCACACCATTACACCACCACCACCAGCCTGAACTCTTGATACAAGGCAGGTTGGATCCATGCTTTCATGTTGTTGACGCCAAATTCTGACCCGACCATCCAAAAAAATGGAGACTCATCAGAGCAGGCAACGTTTCTCCAATCTTCTATTGTCCAGTTTTGGTGAGTCTGTGTGAATTGTAGCCTCAGTTTCCTGTTCTTAGCTGACAGGAGCAGCACCCGGTGTGGTCTTCTGCTGCTGTAGCCCATCCGCCTCAAGGTTGGACGTGTTGTGTGTTCAGAGATGCTCTTCTGCAGACCTCGGTTGTAGCGAGTGCTTATTTGTGTCACTGTTCCCTTTCTATCAGCTGGAACCAGTCTGGCCATTCTCCTCTGACCTCTGGCATCAACAAGACATTTACGCCCACAGAACTGCCGCTCACTGGATATTTCCTCTTTTTCAGACCATTCTCTGTAAACCCTAGAGATGGTTGTGCGTGAAAATCCCAGTAGATCAGCAGTTTCTGAAATACTCAGACCAGCCCGTCTGGCACCAACAACCATGCCACGTTTAAAGTCATGTAAACCCCCTTTCTTCCTTATTCTGATGCTCGGTTTGAACTGCAAAAGAACATCTTGACCATGTCTACATGCCTTAATGCATTGAGTTGCATATATGTAACTGTAATGCTTGATTCTAATTGGCTAATGAACAATATATGATGAGCAGTTTTTTCAGATAAAAGCACAGCTAAAGTAGTTCCGGCAGGTTTAGAGCGCATTACAGCTCCAGATCACTCCACTGAATGATAAGAGTTATTTCACAGCTACAACAGTCAGAAATCACATCAGAACACAGCTGAAGGCTTTGGACGCGATGTGGAAGAAACTAGTGCTTCACACTAGTGCTCACAGCTTAAAGAGGACAAACACCTGACAGGTGTGCATTATTATCTAATAATTCAACGACTTGTTGTCAGTTATTACTTCCACTTATATGTTCAGTAGGAATATTGATAATCAATATGTATAATAAATAGTCCTAGTCAGTCACCTTTATATGTAGTGTAGTCTTTCTTGAGTCCTTCGCTGATGTCAGAATCGCTGTCATTAACATCGCTGTCTCCTTTTCCACTGTCTTTACCGCTGATCTGTGGATCTCTGACAGCGATGGTCATCATGGAGTTTCCTTTCCACACTGTGATTGGCCGAGCAGAGTCTTTACCATATCCAGGTAAAGTAGAATATCCCTATATAAAAAACAAACAAACACAAGAACCCATCCATATTTAACACACATTGATGTTCTGTGTGCAATATTTTAGCTGCTATTGTGTATATGCGTGCTTTGCATTTTATTTTAACCTCCCATGGCATGAATCTATTTGATTTAAAGCTTTAAAGGGGACCTGTTATGCAAACATCACTTTTATAAGAGGTTTAAACACAGTTGTGCGTCAGCAGTGTGTGAATACCTCCAGCTCCTAATGGTGAAAATGCATGAATTGTATTTGTTATAATCAGACTTGATCAAAACAGTGTTCAGAAACACTTTGATTGACAATCCCCCTTTGTACGTGTCATCAAAGGGGAAGAGCCCCGCCCACTAGTGACCATCTCTCCCTCATTAGCATAAACAGCAGCCCTGAGTGAGAAGCAGCCGTCTGTCCATTAGCCGTTAGAGTGTTTGAGCTGCTGAAGATAATGTCAGCATAGACTAAGAGGATTATAGATGTGGAGATTTAGATGAACAGCGACAGGAGCGACATAGACTGACAGAAGCATGAAGCACACATGCACACCTGACCAGCACTGATAACACTATTTTGAATCTGCCACTATGCTGATGCATAGACATTTGTAGCTCCGCCCTCTTTTAAAAAGAGCTCAACCTCATTTTAACTTAAAGAGACAGTCACCAAAATGCCACAGCTGGGATCAAAACCTAAAAGGGTCAGTTTCAGAGAGTTAGAAAGTATTATGTGTGTTATTTTTGAGCTGAAACTTAACTACACGCACTCTAGAGACATCAGAGACTTATTTTAAATCTTGTAAAAGAGGTAATCATTGGTTCTCTTTAAAAAGTGATATTTAATAAAAATGACTATAGACCTGTTTATAGCGTGCAAAAGTTAAAGCCCCCTTTTGGCCATTGCATACTTTGTCGGTGGTCCCCGGGCCGCGGACCGGTACCGGTCCGTGGATCAATCAGTACCGGGCCGCACAAGAATTAATTATCTTTAAGTTGGCAGATGAAGTAGCTGCATTTAAAGCCCAACTGAGGCATATTGGACATGTTTCAAACATTAGCTGGGATTTTGTGTGAGACTGAGCCTGCGCCCTCACTCACCAAGCTGGTGGACGATCATCAGTCTTCGCTGTTAAAGGAGTTTGAGCGCTACTTCCCAACCTCAAAGGACCCACAAACGACTAGGGAATGGATACGTGACCCATTTGTCAACAAACCAGCTAAATCCAGCATGTCCATGCAAGAAGAAGACCAACTGCTGGAGATCGTAAATGACGGCGGCCTTAAAACAGTGTTCGAGACAACAACTCTGCCGGTGTTCTGGATTAAAGTAATGGCAGAATACCTAGAGATTGCTAACACAGAGCTGAAAACCCTGTTGCCAAGTCGAGATGTACATGATATGTGTGTTTTGGCGCTCACAGGCTGTTTCACGGGCACCTGCAAAGCTTTAAGGTAAACAAACAACGGCTTATCATAAGCATCTTATTGATAATTATTATTATTATTATTATTATTAACATAAAAGCGTTATCTGGCTAATTTCTAGCAGCTAAATGTGTCTGGGAAAATATTCAAATGCTTTTATTCTCATAAACCGCACGGACGTGAATGCGTATGTCTGACTGTTCTGATTGGCTAAAGCAGACGTCTCACGTCAGCACGTTCTAGACGTGCACGCGCTCATCACCCCTCCCCCCAACCCCCAATCCCCCCCGGTCTGCAGTAAAATTGTCAAGCGTTGACCGGTCCGCAGTTAGAAAAGGGGACCACTGCTTTAAGTTATCAGATTTTAAAAGGCATCTAATGACCCCTGTGATTAACCCACTGCTTTGTGCTTCTTCTTTTCTTGGTCTGTTTTACAGTTTTTGTTCATTTAGTCACGTTTCACTGCATGTTCTTTCTCAGCACCACACTCTGAAAGTTGTGTAATTCCTAAAACAACATGTCAAATTAAAAACCAATGACTGAATCATATATATATATATATTTTTTTTTTTTTTCCTTCAGTGCTTCACACCATGAGTGTTTTGCTTTTAAGGACAAAATTAAAGGTCACCTATGGTGACAAATCTACTTTTCAAGCTGTTTGGATAGACATGTGTGTAAGTATAGTGTCTAGACCAGTGGTTCTCAAACTGTGGTACGTGTACCACTAGTGGTATGCAGGCTTCCTTCTAGTGGTACGCGGAGGAATTGCTGAATAATTTAAGTAAATAAAATGAACACACTTTTAACCCTTTGACACATACAGCACCAATGTGATCAGTAAATTGATTTTAATAGGCTAAAACTTTTATTTTATTTTCAATTTTCTAATGTTTGTTATGTATTCCATCATTTGAAGCTCATCTCCTGCATTTATTTGTAACAGTTGTTGGGGGCTTATCTTGTATTTTTATGTCCCAATGTTGACAGGTATAGTTTAATCACTTGACACACAAAAGCCTATAACTTGCAGTAAGCAGATCTAATTTCTAAATTAAATATGTAAATCCAAATCATACATTTAAAGTTAATGTTTAGATTTAAAATACATACAAATATGTTTTAAATATGTGCAACATCTATTACAAAACTTTTCAAAAACATTTTATATATGAATAAGATCACAAATAGCCTATATTTATGAGGTCCAAGGCTTCTATATGTTAATACTTTACATTTAAGTACAGCAATTTTCTTTTTTCTTTTTAAGACCATTTCTAATTAACTTTTAGAAGCACATTTTAATTTAAACATTATTTTTTTACCTGTAAGCACAGGGCAGTGTTAATGTTCAAGCTATTTATTATGTTTAAAGTTGCTGACAATAATAAATATTCATAGTAATAGAAATTAATCTGCCTCATTTTTGAACTGTCCAGAGGTTTAGCTGCTTCATTAGGCCTAATACGCTACTGTATTTTAATACGGGTCGTTTTGGTGGTACTTGGAGAGACTATTTTTCTCTGAGGTGGTACTTGGCGAAAAAAGTTTGAGAACCACTGGTCTAGACCATCATATTGGGCTGAAATAAACACACACAGTCCTTTTTTAAAACGTTGGACCAATTGGAGCAGTTAGATCGACTGCAACTTGATGTAGGAGAGCGTTCCCCCCGCCCACCAATATTGACTGACAGGCACTCGTCGCCTAATCCTCAGTTTGTCGTTTCACGCCCGCCATTTTCAGCGTGAGAGTCAAAGCAATGTTACTAGAGGAACCCCCTTGCTCTATTTTTAGATGCAAGGCTCATTGGGCTCAACACAAGATCAATATTCACCACATGATCGCTCTAATCGGAATTATTGCTTGCAACTTAGTTTGTTTGTAGGTAGGTTTGCAAACTAGTGTACTTTTCATTGCGTCTACCTTAAACTTCAGCTGTTTGCATTTCTCGAGGTCACAGAAGCTCCCTGTGTGATCTTAACTCGGTGCAGCTGAAAGTGTGAGCGCCTTTGCCTCACGACGTGAGTGTCACTCCATTGGAAATAAAATAACAAACTTGCCTGCAGGTCGCACGCCAGAAGCGCCGCTCGGCGACGCGCATCACCATGCACTTTAGAATTCTAAACAGGTTTCTATCAAGGTACACATAACGGCGCTTCAAGTCGGCGGCTGTCCGCGGGGCCCAGCCAGTATTGTCGCGGCTCTAAGCGGGTCATCCATGTGCCGCACTCAAAGTTAATTCAGTGTACGTGGTTATTAGTCTCAGTGTACAAACTCGGCACTTTAAACTAGCACACAGTTGCTGTAAAACTATACAAAGACACAAATGATTGTGTACTGTCTGCTTGGTCTGTGTCCGAGTCGTACATAATAATTAAATTAAATAAAGTAAAAGAAAATAATAAAAAAAGAGGACGGGGGGTGGAGTAGTATACATACACATATATGTTTATATACGTAGAAAAACTATATACAGATCATTAAATCAATCACCAAATAAATAATAAATGTGGTAATTATTGATCTTTTGTTGAGCCCAATGAGCCTTAAGCAGGCCGCACAAGCTCGGCGCCGCGACACGGCGCGCACATGACAGTTTAAAGTATCACACACCAGACGCGCACATTCGAATGATATTTAACATAAAACTAATAAGATGGCGCTCTGTGGCGCGGTTGAAAAATGAATTGCGTCCTGAGCCGTGGCCGGGCGCCGCCGACAGCCGCCGACTTGCGGCGCCAGTGTGTGTATCCTGATAGAAACCTATGTTTAGAATTCCAAAATGCATGCGAGCGGCGCTTCTGGTGTGCGACCTGAAATAGAGCAAGGGTGTTCCTTTATGCCGAGTTCAGACTGCATGATTTTCCAACTAGTCCTGTCACAGATGTTTTCACACTGCTTGACTATCTGAGCTGGCTTTGTTTACACTGCAAGATGGTTCGGCGACATAGACATTCACATTGCATGACTTTACTATAGGGAGAATCGCCGACAACTTCGTCCAAACTACGTCTCACAGCCAAAAACACGTCGTATAGCCTATCTTTTGTTATTAACTAGATAATGAGAAAGAAGCCTTTAATGGGGTAGAACATGTACATGTTTGGTCACCTGGGTTTAAAGGGAATTAGCCATTTCTCCTCAACGTTGATAATAAACTAATTTCTTTCTGTATGAAACGTCAAACAGACACGGCTGCTCCTGAGTCCTGTCAAACCTCCACTAGTTTTCCCTCCATTTCGTGGGTCCAAATAAACCGAAAAAGATCGCTTTTAACTTCTCCCCCAGCCTCCCGCTGGCCTGCAGCAGGTATACACACACGCACACACAAGTGAAAGCTGCTCTCTCATTGGCTGTAGGCGATCGCTGATGTTATTTTCAGTCAAAACTCAATTCACACGGCATGATTTGCATCGCCGACAGCTCCAGATATTCAGCACGCCAAATATCTCACAGGCATCGGCGACTCATCGGCGATTCTCTCAGATCGCGTCTTTGATCGTTCATACTGTGTGATTGTCACTCACGTGCACAAGCAGCGATTTGCCTGTGATTTCAGGCATTTGTCTGCGATTTCTCAAAACCTGTCGGCGAGCCAAAATCGGGGCTAAAATCACGCAGTCTGAACTAGGCATTAGTGACATCGCTTTGACTCACACGCTGGAAATGGCAGACGTGAAACAACAAACTGTGGATATTGTGATGTGCGCCTGTCAATCAATATTGGTGGGCGGGGGGATCGCACTCCTACGTCAAGATGCGGTCGATTTGAAAACCGGTCCAATTGGTCCATCGTTTATATGTTGTTAAATTGAAAAAAAAAAAGGACTGTGTGTGTTTATATCAGCCCAATATGACGCTATATACAATATACTTACACACATGTCTGTCCAAACAGCTTAAAAAGTTTAAAATTGACCTTCTCCTGGAGAAAAATATAATAGGACAATATTAATATCCTAATATCTGTTAAACAGCACTTGGGAAATATTTGTACTATAAAAGAGATTAACATTTCAGAACAGGGCTAATAATTTTGTCTTAAACTTTTTATTACAATGTGAATATTGTTTTATTTCTTTCCTTATTTCTTTCTTTATTTTTGCAAGCATATTGCATTGTTTTTCTGCTGCTGTGTTTTTTTATTCGACAAGTCACTTTATTTGTACACATACATGAGGAGCATCTCCTTTGGTGTCCTGCACTAGTTTGTATTGCCCTGCACATTTGCATTAGATTGATGTGATTGGCTGTCACGTCTTCATCATTAGCATTGCATTCTGAGCCCTGCGTTGTTCAGCTGTGCTCCGTCGAGCTGTTTTCAATGCATGGTGAATGTGTGCTGTGTGAACGGCTCCTCACACACACAGAGAGAGAGAGAGAGAGAGAAAGAAACACTGTCTCCACTTACATCGATATCCCCCGCCACACTCCTGTATTTGCTCTTGAAGGTCTGCGGGGTTTCGTTAAAGACTTCAGCGGTCGCCTGCACACTGCTGTGTAGCTTCTCAGGACTGTCGATGGTCGTGGAGTGGAAAGTGTGTGTCTCGAAAACATTGGCGGTCTGGTTTGAGATCATCGACACACTGTTTTTCTCATCAGAGTACGGGATATCCAATGCCTCAGGGAGGTCATCGCTTCCCTTCGGACTGTTTTTACGACTTTTGCATAGTATGAATGATAAAATAGCCAAAAACAGCAGCGAGGAAGTCGTCAGAGCCAATATTAAAACAAGCGTCCATTGTTTAGGCTCGTCCTCCTCTCTTTCGTCATAAAAGTTGCCGTTTGAGGGTGCCGATTCGGTTAGGGTGAAATGAATCGTGGCTGTTGACGTTTGCGATGGTTGGCCGTTATCGTTAACCGTCACTAAGACCTTCCACAAATCGTACTCATCGTACGTGATTTTGCGGTTGATGTATATTTCCCCAGTATTCGGATCGATTGCGAAACCAAAATCGCCTCCGTCGTAGATCTTATAAGTGAGCTCTGCGTTTAAACCGGCGTCTGAATCTTTAGCTATTATTCGCGTTACGATGTAACCGGGAGGTGCGTCTCGGGGAAGCTGTATTTCAGCAGATCCGTTAATGAGCGGCGGATGAGTTATAAATGGAGTGTTGTCGTTCTGATCGACTACATTGATGATGAGTATGGCGTTGTTGTGTAGTTGTGGCCATCCTCTGTCGCTGGCCTGGACGCGTAAATCCAGCCTCTTTGTGACTTCGTAATTGAAACTCTGCAGCGCGTAAACGTTCCCAGCTTGGTTCATAATAGCAAACCTGGAAACGCTGTTTGTGTCCGAGTCAAAAAGTTCGTAGGTTATTTCCCCATTCAATCCCGAATCCTGATCGCTAGCCAAAATTGTTGTGATGTAAGTACCCGGTAATTGATTCTCCTCAATGAAACCTTCATATATCTTAGCACTGAACGCCGGGGCATTATCGTTGACGTCTGTCAGACGTATAATGTATTGAGTAACCGTGCGTAACGGAGGCACACCGAAGTCCTCAGCCACCACCGTCAGATTATACTCCGCAATCTTCTCTCTGTCCAGAGGAGCCATCGTGACGATGGTGTAGCTGCCCTCGTAGGCTCTCTTAAGCCTGAAGTTCCCATGTCCTCCATTCAGAGTGCAGCTCACCTGTCCGTTCGCCCCGGTGTCCTTGTCTTTGATGCTGATTAAAGCCACCAGGATATCTGGACCTGTGGCTTCACTAACATGCGCAACTCCGTCGGTCACCGATGTTATGGACGTGATGATGATTTCAGGAGGGTTGTCGTTGACATCTCTGATGTTGATGATAATTTTGCACACTGAAGGCACCGGGTTGTGCCCCAGATCAGTAGCCTGCACATCAATTTCATATGTCGTCTCGTCTTCGTAATCCACAGGGCTTTGTAATGTCAAATATCCAGTCTTGTAATCCAGTTTGAACAGCTGTCTGATTTCTGTTGTAACTTGTTTGCCAAATTCATACACGACCTGTCCATTAAGTCCTTCATCTGGGTCGATGGCGTTCAGATCCAGCAGTAGAGCCTCCACAGGGGTGTCCTCCGGCACGTCCACCGAGTAGTGGCTGTGGTCAAACAGCGGGCTGTTGTCGTTCGCGTCCTTCACTTTCACGGTCACGTTAGTGGAGCCGCTCCTCGGCGGATGACCTCCGTCTGCCGCCACCAGCTTGAGCGCGAAAAAAGCGCGCGCTTCTCTGTCCAGCTCTTTGACGAGCACCAGCTCCGCATATTTAACCCCATCCACGCGCGTGATGACATCGATGCTGAAGTGCGAGTTCTCGCTTAGCTCGTAGCTTTGGATGGAGTTTGAACCCACGTCTGAATCTTCAGCGGCGTCCAGCGCGATGCGCGTGCCCAGCGCCGCGCTCTCGGAGATCTCGACGGTGCACTCTGCGCGCGGGAACTCCGGAGAGTTGTCATTCACATCCAGCACTTCCACTTCAACATGGAAGAGCTCAAACTGCTCGGCGGACACGAAGGCGACGTCAAAAGTAATCACGCACCGCGGGTTGCGCTTGCAGATGCGCTCGCGGTCGACGCGCTCCTCCGCCGTCAGCCTCCCGTCGCTTTCCCGAAATCGGATGAAGGAGCCGGTTGACGGACTCATCAGCTTAAACCTGATGCCAGGGAAAGTCCTGCGCGTTTTATCCGGAGTCCAGGTTACATTGCTGGCGAGTGTTCCGATAACTGTAGGCGGTCGAACCTCTTCGGATATCTTATACCGGACTGTCCGCTCCTCGCACAGCACCGCCGCCCAGAGCAGCGCGGCTCCGAGTGTCCGCGCGAGAGAGAGCCGGGTCTGCATGTTCAGCGGCGGGAGAAGCGCGCGAGTCACCTGCGCGAGTCCCGCTGCTCATCAGCCTCTCTGAAGTCTGAAGTCACTTATTCTGCGTGCAGCTTCTTCTTCTTCTTCTCTGACTCCTCCCGCGACTCTCTCACACACACTTACTCGCACACACTCAATGACATTTACAATTCACGCGAATGACCAACACACCTTCCTTCACACAGGTCTGGTCGGTGCGAGAGCGCGCACTGGAATAAAACTGATGGGAATGATCGGCGCGCGCGCACGGGGAGGGCGACAGGACAAAGAAAAGAGATTTCGTTTCTCTTTCTGGTGTATTTCAGTCATGTGACTGGACTTGAAATGTCCTTCCTTATGAACAGAAAGACTATTTATAAACGCTTCAAATGTGCGTGTGCCTGTCAGTTTGAGTGGAGCCTTAAAATGTCTTCATGATTTTGTCTCCAAATGTGCACTGAATTGAGGAGAATCTTCTGGCATTGTGTGGGAATGAGGGAGACGTGACAATTCTGTACTCAAAGATGAAGACTGATTACTTTCTGAAATTTTATTCTGAATTAATGACACTCACTTCATCTAATAACATGCAAGGCTGTCAAAATATTTTACTGTAATCAGGATACATTTATTGACAGGTGAAGTGACAAATTATATAATCTTATATAATGTTGGGTTATTATAGGTTCCTTTGGTTAATGCTAGTTAAATTATTAACATGAACAAATAACGAACGTTTATTGAAGTATCTAATAATCTTCATCAACAGTAGTTAATTCAGTTCAATGCATGTTTATTTTTATAGCGCTTTTACAATGATCATGTTAAAGCAGCTTAACACAGAACTTCTAGTGAACTGCAACTGTGTCAGGTTTAATTTTCACTGCTGACAGTCCAAACACTGAAGAGCAAATCCATCCATGCACAGCTCCACAAGTCCCAAACCAAAACTAATTAAAAATAAACTCCTCCATTGCAAGCGCTTTGAGTGCCCAGAAAAGCGCTATATAAATGTAACAAATTATTATTATTATTATTATTATTATTATTGTTAGTTTCTGTTGTTCACTCACGTTGCATTAGCTAATGCCAACAAGCACAACTCTGGATCTAAATAAAGCATTTGTAAATGTGATAATGAGTCATAATTGATAAATGCTGTACACGTATTGTTGATTAGATCATGTAAAATGTGACCCAGTCATGTTACATCAGGATGAAGTGATGCTGCTCAAAACCTGATCAAAGATCTGCCATTTGGGCTCAGATTATTTTTCAACTTTAAATGAATGCATTATTCTGACTCTTCAGACGCTTCTGTTGTTTTAAGTGTAAACTCGCTCATTTTAAGGAGGATTTTTTTGAAAAAGCCATCTTAATATGAGAATGTTTCCAAATTTTGCAGTCTGGATGTGCATTTTCAGCAATTTAATGTAAACTGTCTTAAGTCCGGTTGGGTAAAATGTGTCATATTTATTTCTAAAGATGCACATTTAGAGGTTTAGTTGGTTCCAGGAGACCAATCAGATATTTTTTTTTCATACCAAAGTGATAAGATTTTGAGATCGCAGCAATGTCTTGTTTTTATAAACTGTGTTAACTGTGATGCTCCTAAAGGCAATTTTACATCTAATCACTCTTGTTCCCTCACATTAACTAATGTCAACAAGCACAACTCTGGATCTTAATAATGCATTAGTAAATGTTGAATGATACTTAATAAATGCTGTACAAGTATTGTTGGTTAGATCATGTAAAATGAGACCAAGTCAAGTTACATCAGGATGAAGTGATTTTCATGTAAACTGTCTTAAATCCCGTTGAAGAAAAAGTGCCACATTTATCTCTAAAGATGCACATTTAGCAAGAGATTTAGTAAGTTCCAGGAGCCCAATCAGATATTTTTCTTAATGCCAAAGTAATCAGATGGTTTTGCAATATACTGTCTTATTTTTATAAACTGTGTTAATTGTGATGCTTCTAAAGACACTTTCACATTAAATTACTTGTGTTCACTCACATTGCACTAACTAATGTCAACAAGCACAACTCTGGATGTTAAAAAAACATTAGTAAATGCTGAGTTATAATTGATAAATGCTGTACACGTATTGTTGATTAGATCATGTAAAATGTGACCCAGTCATGTTACATCAGGATGAAGTGATTCTGCTCAAAACCTGATCAAAGATCTGCCATTTGGGCTCAGATTATTTTTCAACTTTAAATGAATGCATTATTCTGACTCTTCAGACGCTTCTGTTGTTTTAAGTGTAAACTCGCTCATTTTAAGGAGGATTTTTTTGAAAAAGTCATCTTAATATGAGAATGTTTCCAAATTTTGCAGTCTGGATGTGCATTTTCAGCAATTTAATGTAAACTCTCTCATGTCCGGTTGGGTAAAATGTGTCATATTTATTTCTAAAGATGCACATTTAGAGGTTTAGTTGGTTCCAGGAGACCAATCAGATATTTTTTTTCATACCAAAGTGATAAGATTTTGAGATCGCAGCAATGTCTTGTTTTTATAAACTGTGTTAACTGTGATGCTCCTAAAGGCAATTTTACATCTAATCACTCTTGTTCCCTCACATTAACTAATGTCAACAAGCACAACTCTGGATCTTAATAATGCATTAGTAAATGTTGAATGATACTTAATAAATGCTGTACAAGTATTGTTGGTTAGATCATGTAAAATGAGACCAAGTCAAGTTACATCAGGATGAAGTGATTTTCATGTAAACTGTCTTAAATCCCGTTGAAGAAAAAGTGCCACATTTATCTCTAAAGATGCACATTTAGAAAGAGATTTAGTAAGTTCCAGGAGCCCAATCAGATATTTTTCTTAATGCCAAAGTAATCAGACTTGTGGTTTTGCAATATACTGTCTTATTTTTATAAACTGTGTTAATGTTGATGCTTCTAACGACACTTTCACATTAAATTACTTGTGTTCACTCACATTGCACTAACTAATGTCAACAAGCACAACTCTGGATGTTAAAAAAACATTAGTAAATGCTGAGTTATAATTGATAAATGCTGTACACGTATTGTTGATTAGATCATGTAAAATGTGACCCAGTCATGTTACATCAGGATGAAGTGATTCTGCTCAAAACCAGATCAAAGATCTGCCATTTGGGCTCAGATTATTTTTCAACTTTAAATGAATGCATTATTCTGACTCTTCAGACGCTTCTGTTGTTTTTAGTGCAAACTCGCTCATTTTAAGGAGGATTTTTTTGATAAATATTCAGAAAAGGCATCTTAATATGAGAATGTTTCCAAATTTTGCAGTCTGGATGTGCATTTTCAGCAATGTAATGTAAACTCTCTCATGTCCGGTTGGGTAAAATGTGTCATATTTATTTCTAAAGATGCACATTTAGAGGTTTAGTTGGTTCCAGGAGACCAATCAGATATTTTTTTTTCATACCAAAGTGATAAGATTTTGAGATCGCAGCAATGTCTTGTTTTTATAAACTGTGTTAACTGTGATGCTCCTAAAGGCAATTTTACATCTAATCACTCTTGTTCACTCACATTAACTAATGTCAACAAGCACAACTCTGGATCTTAATAATGCATTAGTAAATGTTGAATGATACTTAATAAATGCTGTACAAGTGTTGTTGGTTAGATCATGTAAAATGTGACTCAGTCAAGTTACATCAGGATGAAGTGATGCTGCTCAAAACCACATCAAAGATCTGCCATTCGGGTTCAGATTATTTTTCCACTTTGAATGAATGCGCTTCTGTTGTTTTAAGTGTAAAGTCACTTATTTTTATTTTTATTTTTTTCAGAAATAAAGACTTTGTGTCTTTGATAAATGCATCTTGATATAAGAATGTGTGCAAATTTTGCAGTCTGGATGTGCATTTTCAGCAATTTCATGTAAACTGTCTTAAATCCCGTTGAAGAAAAAGTGCCACATTTATCTCTAAAGATGCACATTTAGCAAGAGATTTAGTAAGTTCCAGGAGCCCAATCAGATATTTTTCTTAATGCCAAAGTAATCAGACTCATGGTTTTGCAATATACTGTCTTATTTTTATAAACAGTGTTAATGTTGATGCTTTCAAAAGACACTTTCACATTAAATCACTCTTGTTCACTCACATTAACTAATGTCAACAAGCACAACTCTGGATCAACTCTAAATGCATTAGAAAATGTTGAATGATTATTAATAAATGCTGTACAAGTATTGTTGATTAGATCATGTAAAATGTGACCCAGTCAAGTTACATCAGGATGAAGTGATGCTGCTCAAAACCAGATCAAAGATCTGCCATTCGGGTTCAGATTATTTTCCTCTTTAAATTAATGCATTATTCTGACTCTTCAGACGCTTCTGTTGTTTTAAGTGTAAATTCACTTATTTTCAGGAATATTTTTTAAAAAATCAAGACTTTGTCTTTGGTAAATGCATCTTGATATAAGAATTTGTGCAAATTTTGCAGTCTGGATGTGCATTTTCAGCAATTTCATGTAAACTGTCTTATGTCCTTTTGGGGAAAAAGTGCCACATTTATCTCTAAAGATGCACATTTAGCAAGAGATTTAGTAAGTTCCAGGAGCCCAATCAGATATTTTTCTTAATGCCAAAGTAATCAGATGGTTTTGCAATATACTGTCTTATTTTTATAAACTGTGTTAATTGTGATGCTTCTAAAGACACTTTCACATTAAATCACTCTTGTTCACTCACATTAACTAATGTCAACAAGCACAACTCTGGATCTTAATAATGCATTAGTAAATGTTGAATGATTATTATTAAATGCTGTACACGTATTGTTGGTTAGATCATGTAAAATGAGACCAAGTCAAGTTACATCAGGATGAAGTGATTCTGCTCAAAACCAGATCAAAGATCTGCCATTTGGGCTCAGATTATTTTTCACTTTAAATTAAAGAATTATTCTGACTCTTCAGACGCTTTTGTTGTTTCAAATGTGAATTCCAGTAGTATCTGGATGCAGTCTTTATGATGTAAGCTGAGATTGCATCACTCAGAGATGCAATGTCAGACACAATGTACTCAATGGAGCTAGTGATGTCACTGTGAGGGGTATAGAGTTAGTGGTGGGGATATAGCCAGGTGAGCGCATTAAAAAGCATTACATGCAGCTCAGATTTTATCTTCACCGAGTCTGCAGTCACTTATTTTTTAGGATTATTTTGTTCATTAATCTTTGTTAAATGCATCTTGATATGAGAATGCTTTCAAATTGTACAGTCTGGATGTGCATTCCTAGCAATTGGATGTAAAAGTATCTTTAGGAGCATCAACATTAACACTGTTTATAAAAATAAGACATTGTGATCTCAAAACCACGAGTCACTTTGATATGAAAAAGAATATCCGATTGGGCTCCTGGAACTAATTAAATCTCTTTCTAAATGTGCATCTTTAGAGATAAATTCATTCATTCATTCATTTATTTTCTTTTCAGCTTAGTTCCTTTATTAATCTGGGGTCGCCACAGTGGAATGAACCACCCTTTAGAGATAAATATGGCACATTTTCCCCAGTGGGACATAAGACATTAACATGACTGGGTCACATTCATTCATTCATTTTCTCGTCGGCTTAGTCCCTTTATTAATCTGGGGTCACCACAGCGGAATGAACCGGCAACTTATCCTGCACATTTTTACACAGCGGATGCCCTTCCAGCCACAACCCATCTCTGGGAAACATCCATACACACATTCACACACACACTCATACACTACGGACAATTTGGCCTATCCAATTCATCTGCACCACATGTGTTTGGACTTTGGGGGAAACCGGAGCACCCGGAGGAAACCCACGTGAAGGCAGGGAGAACATGCAAACTCCACACAGAAATGCCAACTGAGCCGAGGCTCGACCCAGCGACCTTCTTGCTGTAAGGCGACAGCACTGCCTACTGCGCCACTGCCTCGCCCAACTGGGTCACATTTTACATAACATAATACTTGTACAGCATTTATCAATTATAATTCAACATTTAATAATGCATTATTAAAACACAAAGTTGTGCTTGTTGACATTAGTTAATGTGAGTGAACAAGAGCAATCTGATCTTAAAGTGTCTTTAGAAGCATCAAAATTAACCCTATTTATAAAAATAAGACATTGCTGTCATCTCAAAACCACGAGTCTGATCACTTTGGTATAAAAAAGAATATCTGATTGGACTCCTGGAACTTACTAAATCTCTTTCTAAATGTGCATCTTTAGAGATAAATGTGGCACTTTTTCCCCGACGGGACATAAGACAGTTTTCCAAACGTGTAAGTTAAGAATAACAAAGTTCTGCCTCCTGCTATTAACTATTTAAGATCTGTGGAAACCCATCCATGTTCATTTATTCAGCCCT